ACAAATTGACCCTTATGACTGGTTTTGTGGCCCAGGGTCACATATGTTAGTTCTGAAATTATGAGTTTGTTTTATCTCATAATTGTAACTTTTTATCTTTTTATCAAAATATGTCATAATTTTGGCTTTATCTCATAATTACAATTTAATATATCATAATTTTGACTTTTTATCTCATAATTAATACATAGAATTTTATAATTTTGACTTTATCATAATTATAACATAGTACGACAATTTTGAATGTATCTAATAATTATGAGATAATTATATCTCATAATACATTCATATAATTTATCATAATTTATATGTGTCTGTGTAATTATGATTTCAAACGTCAAATGCCAAAATTTTGTCTTTTAATCTCATAATTTCTCATTTTTATCTTATAATTACGACACAGTATGTCATAATCTCAAATTTATCTCATAATTATGACTTTGTATCTCATAATTCTGACTGACTTCATAATGACTACTTTATCTCATAATTCTGATTTCCCAAAGCATGATATTTTTCTTACGTGGCAGAAAAGGGCTTGCATAAACGCTCTCACCTGGCAGTCATCTCCTTTAGTGCACACAACCCCGTTCATGAACTGTCTGTCTAGAGACGGCGAGATACCGAAGCTGTTGCCCATGCACAGGATCTCTGTTCGGCCGTCTCCATAGCTGATCTCTACAGCACCATTCAGGATCACATACCACAGGTCCAGCTGCAAACACAACAGTGCATTATAATCACAATCATTATCAAATGAGCTTTATGCACGTCAGATCGGTAATTACAGATGCTGGTACTATGGTGAAGAACAACTGAGATGGCATTCCAGGGATCAAATTTATGTCAATAAAGATGATAGCTCCAGACATTTTTACTGGATATGGATTAATCTAACAGCAGAAATAAATGCTACAACAGCCAGTCAGTGCATGCATCTAATAACTCTGCATGTTCTGCGTGTCTCTGTGTGAATGAATGGGGCGGTTTCGTCTGATACACAAACTCAGTGTTTCAGCATCTGTATTCTTCATCAAGATTATGATTTATAACTGATCAGATCCATCACTAATCTATGATCATCAGTCAAAAATATGTATGAAAGGAAAAGCAGATAGCAGAGTTTTACTGAGATGCCGTTGAGACAGGAAGGACAGAAAAGGCACAGATTACTGAGAAAGTCAGAGAGGAACCAGAACTCAATAGTGTGTCCCTAACACTTTAATACAGACTCAAAGTGATATGTTCTTATAATAACACAGAACTGTCATTATACATTCATAAATATATACATTTATAGAGAGAGAGAGAGAGAGAGAGAGAGAGAGAAAGATTTTTTTTCTGGCCAAAATATATTTTAAATATATGTTAAATATATTTTGTACACAGTGAAGCTAAATTTTTGAAATAGAAAATATATTTAGTTCCAACCTTCATACACCAAAATATATTTCAAACTGTATTTCAGGTCAAGAAAGTTAACTTACTGTAGCCTACATTTAGGTTTTACTCATTATTAATTTTTATTCAAATGTGTCTTTTTTATGTTACAGACAACAAATAAGGTTTTTCTTCAAATCTGAATTCACTGGTCAAAAATATATTGGTAAAAATATATTTATGTAAATATATTTTGAATTATATTTTAGCAAATATATTTTTTGCCATTTTTGTATATTTTACATTTTATATTTAAGAATATATTTGAACATTTATATTTTTCCAACAATATTTCCACGATTTAGATACTCTGAACTGTCAGTTCAAAACACTGGTTCAATAATTCGGTTGAGTTATCACTGAAAAATGTTCACACAGAAAAAGCTTCACATACTTTCAAACTTTGGCTCAGAACCAGGTCTTTGAGCACTGAGTGCTCTTCAGGTGATAAAGCGGCCGTACCTGGTAGATGTCTGATAGGCTGCTGCTCCCCGAGTCACTGGCGATGCTGCATCCTGATTGGCTGGGCGGCATGTGCATCTGCTGGTGGGGGTGGTCTGTCAGGTGCATCTTGTTGAGGTCACCAGGAAGCTGTTCAGACAAGACAGGAAGTGAGAAATGTTGAATTGAGGACATCATTTATAATGCAGCTCATGAGCGGCCTGTCTGCTCTGAATGTGACTTCAAAAACACAAAGGACAACTTAATGACACGGACAGAAAACAACTCTAAAAGACCGTTTACACTAATTTCAAAGTTTTAGTTGTCTTTCCTTGCCATCTACAAATAATTTTCCCAATTATAACATTGTTTATTATGAAATGCTCTTAACATGCTGATTAATCATGCTATTAGTAGAGGGAAAAAAACTTCACAAACCTGGTTTATTTGAACTGTCAGAGTCATATGTATGACAACTAAAAAATAATTTATGTAATTTATGTCAAAGCAATTGATGCATTTGCTGCATTCTTGTTTCCTGTAGTGTTTTAGCGAAAGTGTTTCACTGTGTTTCTGCTACTGTTGTTAAAATAACCACATCATCTGAAGCTCTTAGTGCCCTGTCTGCTCTGAATGTGACTTCAAAAACACAAAGGACAACTTAATGACACGGACAGAAAACAACTCTAAAAGACCGTTTACACTAATTTCAAAGTTTTAGTTGTCTTTCCTTGCCATCTACAAATAATTTGAGCGGAACAGGTTTGAATGAAATGCGTACCATAAACGAGCCTGAGCGTTTGTGTGAGTACTGCTCTGCCGGCAAACCTTAGGATGCGTTACGAATGCAAATATTTATGATCTTTTCTTACATTTTTCCATGTAAAATCACCGCATAGTTGATCAAGAGTTAAACAGAGGAGCTGCTGATGAGAGCGCTGGTGCGTCAGGCCTTTCATCCTGTGAATGAGCCGGACAGCTGTGTAAAGGGCATCTGTGATTCGTAACTGTGGCATAAGGGCAAACGAGAGGCGCTGCTAATTGCTGTAGTCGTACTGTGCTCACTCACACGAGGGTCTCTCCCCTGCACCTCAACTAATGATGCTGGGAGATTAAATATGGGTTTATTTGAACTGTCAGAGTCATATGTATGACAACTAAAAATAATTTATGTAATTTGTCAAAGCAATTGATGCATTTGCTGCATTCTTGTTTCCTGCAGTGTTTTAGCGAAAGTGTTTCACTGTGTTTCTGCTACTGTTGTTAAAATAACCACATCATCTGAAGCTCTTAGTGCTTTCTGTCTTTAGCAGAGGAGAGAAGCAACACACACAGAGCGGAAAAGGCCGGACAGCTGTGTAAAGGGCATCTGTGATTTGTAACTGTGGCATAAGGGCAAACGAGAGGCGCTGCTAATTGCTGCAGTCGTACTGTGCTCACTCACACGAGGGTCTCTCCCCTGCACCTCAACTAATGATGCTGGGAGATTAAATATGAATGCATGCTGCCTCCTGCCCCACATCAGCCATACTCCAGGATTCACACAGGACCGATGCACACTCTCAGAGACATGCTCACCTGGATTGAAAAGCATCGTATTCACATAAACAGTGCATTTGAGCCTCACTGTAATACTGAAAGATACTCATACTGCAGCTAATTAGGAAGTGATGTTTTTATGAGGAGGTTTTATGGGAGGTAACTCAGGGGCGCTGAGAGATTTTGTCCTTGTGCAAAGTCCACTGAATTATTCATGCGTCCCACCGCGCTCAAGTCTAGACTAGACAACACGTAACTGTGGCATAAGGGCAAACGAGAGGCGCTGCTAATTGCTGTAGTCGTACTGTGCTCACTCACACGAGGGTCTCTCCCCTGCACCTCAACTAATGATGCTGGGAGATTAAATATGAATGCATGCTGCCTCCTGCCCCACATCAGCCATACTCCAGGATTCACACAGGACCGATGCACTGATGCACACTCTCAGAGACATGCTCACCAGGATTGAAAAGCATAGTATTCACATAAACAGTGCGTTTGAGCCTCACTGTAATACTGAAAGATACTCATATTGCAGCTAATTAGGAAGTGATGTTTTTATGAGGAGATTTTATGGGAGGTAACTCAGGGGCGCTGAGAGATTTTGTCCTTGTGCAAAGTCCACTGAATTATTCATGCGTCCCACCGCGCTCAAGTCTAGACTAGACAACATTCAGACTGACCATCACTTCATGATGGTTTAGTATTAGATTAAAAAATGCCCTCATGAAAGGTAAAATGCTGGTGGAAACAAAATCCAAGGCTAATACTGGCCTTAATAAAACGTAAATAAAGTTCACATGTACATGAATCAGTGTTTCCCATGAATTACCGAAAGTCTGGCAGCCCGTCACAGTTTCAGAATGATCCAAAAATATTTCTACACTTCTCATAACAACATAATGTCTCTATCGTTGTGTTTTGTGACATCGCTCTGACAAAGTATCTGATATGTGCTAAGTGCGCTTATCAAATGGCTGCACTGTAATTAAGTATATAGTCTTCACTGTGTTCATTTACACATGAGCAGCTCATGATCCAGTGTTTTCAGCATCTCTGAGAAGCTCGATTTCCAGAGAAGCAAGAGTTTCAGATATTGGGGGAACAATTTGGCCATTTCTAAATATTGGGGGACTATGATGTTACAGCCCTGGTTTGTTTGAAAATGAGGGAATTAAGACAGCAAATTGCCATATTAATTTTTTTCAATTTATTATTTTTTTTAAACTCAATAAATACTCTATTTTTTATTAACTTTTTTTATTAAATTGCATTTTAAATTGCAGCTTTTAATGGTTATTCCCCCAAACGTGTGGCTCTAAAAGCAACATGGTAAAAGCAGCTTAAACATCTTAGCAACTGCATAGCAATGCCCCAGCAAACACCTACAGCAACTCATCACGCCAGAACATTTTGCATGGGCACAACAGACAGACAGACAGACAGACAGATGGTATGCTTGTATTTAAGGCAGTGCTATCCAGGGGCAAACAAGGTGCCAACCTACACCATGTGAGCACTGTGAACAGAGCAGCCATATGGCACCCAGCCCTGTCCTTACGCTCCACGAGCAAAGCCCAAGCTCTTCCTTCGATGTCAGACCTTCAACCTGAACCCAGAATCATCTGTGTGACGTCACATACTCGTGGCACGATTACAGTTGATCTGATCCCATCTGCCTTCACACAAGTATAGGAAGATCAAAAGCTAATGATTCGGGATGGGATTCACAGATGCGTCCCGAATACGCAGCAAATTGCCGTATTAATTTTTTTCAATGTATAATTTTTTTTACTCTATAAATACTCTATTTTTTATTAACTTTTTTAACTAAATAGCATTTTAAACTGCAGCTTTTAATGGTTTTTCCCCCAAACGTGTAGCTCTAAAAGCAACACGGTAAAAGCAGCTTAAGCATCTTAGCAACTGCATAGCAATGCCCCAGCAAACACCTACAGCAACTCATCACGCCAGAACGTTTTGCATGGGCACAACAGACAGACAGACAGACAGACAGATAGATGGTATGTTTGTATTTAAGGCAGTGCTATCCAGGGGCAAACAAGGTGCCAACCTACACCATGTGAGCACTGTGAACAAAGCAGCCATATGGCACCCTGCCCTGTCCGTACGCTCCACGAGCAAAGCCCAAGCTCTTCCTTCGATGTCAGACCTTCAACCTGAACCCAGAATCAACTGCGTGACGTCACATACTCGTGGCATAATTACAGTTGATCTGATACCATCTGCCTTCACACAAGTATAGGAAGATCAAAAGCTAATGATTCGGGATGGGATTCACAGATGCGTCCCGAACACACAGAGTACACGTCAGCATGTGTCCACTGGAGAGGCTTTATAAAGGGAACACTGTCCTCCTATGAAAGAGCGAAAACCAAAGTGTATATTGATGGAAACAGATGACTATAAGGGGCACTGAAGGACTGAAGGCTGATGTTTAACTGGATGGTGAAATGCAGCATTATAATGAGCGAGGATAGGTAATGACCCTGCTGTTTTAGGCCTCTATAACCTTCATACATGGCCCGTAATCTAGAGAAATCATGTTCTTGATGAGAACAGGCCTTTTCACAGTTTGCCTTGCTGCTGTCGTGAACTGGCTATTAAATTAATTACAAACTTCTAGATTCAGTCACAACTATATAGTCCAAAGCCATCGCTCTTTACGTGTGGAGTCGTTTCAGAGAGCAAGCAAAAGATATCAGACGCATGCCGACCTTACCTTTCTTTCAAATAAAAGATCTGCTCTTACCATCTGAATATTATCCAAACAGATGCTGAGAGCTTTTAGCTGCTCTATCCTGGGAGGTTTAGGGTGTCATGTGGACAGGAAGGTTAGGCAATCGGGATCAATACACTCAGCATTAGTCTCAACACGTTTTTTTCCATCGTTAAATTATGAGTCAAGGCAAATGCTGCACTTTGAGAGAGCAGCTTACCTCCAGCTCCTGTTACTCACCAGATCTGCTGACTGAAAGAAAATCTATGAGCGAAAGCGTGACCATCGGAAAAACACAACAAAAGCAAACGTCAGAGCCTCCAAAAATGTTACCACTGGATTAGGTAAATGTTAAGAAATGGTGCACGTACAGAAGTGGATCAGATCTAGACCTGTAATGATGGATTCACATATCACGACACATATCTCAAACTAATGTGTGAAGTACTAGAGGATGGTATTTCTGTTAAGTCATGTATCAGTGACGGCACAGATTTCCATCTTCACATGTATCTTCACTCTGCAGTCGCTTAGTACGGACAATAGCAGTTATTATAGCTAACTAAAACTATGAAAAACATTCTTGGAAGTAATAAACTGAAATAAAATATAATATTTAAAAACATAAACGTATTTTTTCATCTATTATTATTTTTTAAATTTTCAACAGTTTAACTTGATGTACTAAAATAAAACAATACAAAAATAATAAAAAATATTCAAAAATCATTGACACAAAAATCAAACAAAAACTAATAAAAATGGCAAAAACACACAACTAAATTCTGAAAACTTTAACTAAAATTAATATGAAAACAGAAAACATCAAAATAAAAACAAATTCAGAATAAAACTGATCAAATTTAACCTT